TCTCCCATAATTTTAAAGTATGACACATCAACTTAATTGATTATGAGGTATCTTGTAATAATGTCACCAAAAATAACCACAATATTATGCTAATATCTGACCATTGTGAGAGTTGAAAGGAGACAACCGTTCAAATTCGATTTTAATCCTCTCAAATTTTTTCTCTTTTCCCTAAACAACTTGTCTCGTGCTTAGCACTTTTTTGGGGCACACTTGTAGCCTTTTTGACACAGTAAAAATAAAAAAAGAAAATGAGGCACTACTGGATTATGATCTCCCCTTTTTTATCATCTCTAACAATCGCCAACATTCTGTAACATGACTTATAGTTACATAACGAAGCATGATCCAAGGTGTATAATAGCACCTTTCTAGATTTTTTTACCATATGGCATGCACCTAATGGTATCTCATGTGGGGCACATCATCTTGTGTAAGGCATGCTTGGCACGCTTCTCATTTCTAAAATTAAAACTCAATTAGTCAATTCCGAAAGAAAAAATGATTATAAAATAATAAATTTAAACCCTGTTCATATGTATGCGGAGTAATATTTGAATCTTGATATTATCTTGCTTGAACTTTGATTGAATCGACCAACATTGCTAAAACTTCCTTAAATAGGGTTTCAAAAAATGATCGTGTTTCATTTAATCCCTGATTGAAATATTTTCAAACCATGATCGTACATGCTTCAATCATTGTTTGAATTTTCTTTGAAAATATGAACAAGATTCGAATAAGCTTTGAAAAATGTTCCATCATGACTTGATCACCGTTTGATTTTTATTGTTTGTACATTGCTAAAACTTACACAATGATCAAAAGGATTCATGTCATTGTATCCCTCTTGTCTAGTGGTACTTCTTTTCAGTCAGATATGTTTATTTGTTTTTGAATCATTATCTAGTAAATATATTTGGCCTGTAAAAAAATCATTTCATATTCATGTGTGTGTCGCCTTATTATGCACATATTTTTTAGTTGTTGGATGCATTGTGAACCCACAATGACCTCATAGGCTCTACTTGTTTTGCCATTCTTTAAAAATATGGTACACGTATATCAAAATATAAGTTAATACTCTTCTGGGATCAGTATTTATGGATTAAATGCATGTTCGAATTTAGCACGGCATGCAAATCTAAATAGGACGCAATGGAGAAAAAGGATTCATGTAGATGTAGCCGACCCCACACCACATAGTGGGATTAATGCTTTATTGTTGTTGTTGTTGTTGTACATTGCTAAAACTTCTTGAATAAAGCTTCAACAATGACCGTATTTTATTTGGACCTTCCATTGGTGGATGATCATCATGCTGTTGCTCAAATATATTTTTAATACCTAGATCGTGGTTCAACTCTTTAAAAGAAAATGGTTCTGTTTTAAATTGCTCCTCAGTGTTAATCATTTCATTTACTAAAATTATCATTGAAAATTTTATATAAATTCCTGAAGTTACTCCATATTTTGCATTGGGTGATCATAATGCTGAATAGCTATCATAAAATATTTCTGATGTTGATTATATAACACAGTTTCAACTCCCCAGTAGATAAAATTTTTAATTTTCCTTATATCAGAAGATACGGAAATTAGAAAAAGTTTTCATTACTCTCCTATGTTAACTTGTCTTCAAGCCGAAAGATTGAAGTGATTATTGTATCCCTCTTGTCTAGTTGTTCTTCTTTTCAGTCAGACATGTTTTTTTGTTTTTGTATCATTATCTAGTAAATATATTTGACCTGTAAAAAGTCATTTCATATTCATGTGTGCGGTGCCTTATTATGCACATATTGTTTTAGTTGCTGGATGCATTGTGAACCCACAATAACCTCATAGGCTCTACTTGTTTTGCCATTCTTTAAAAATACGGAACACGTATATCAAAATATAAGTTAATAGTCTTCTGGGATCTCAATATTTATGGATTAAATGCATGCTCGAATTTAGCACAGCATCCAAATCTTCATTAAAAAGCTATAGAAAAAGTGGTGAGGATGCAGTATTTTCTATTATTTTATGTTGGGGCCGTTGAATTTGAATTATTTACGGACACTTGTTCAACTCCTGTTATTTCTTAGATTTGTTAATTGGTTCCTCCGTGGGAAGTGATCTTTTTCGTGCATGTGGCTTATGAATTTCCTATTTTCATCTTTTCCAGAAACTTATCTTGTCTGATGCGTGGTTCAATGTATATTTCCGGATTTGAACAGGTTACACCTTTTAGCATTTTGTGGAGGTATGAAGCAGATGCACCATTATTTGGATCTCTATGTCTAGATTCTTCCAGTGGTAATGGTAAGCTGTTTCGGATAACTCTTGTGCTTTTCTTTACTTTGGCACTGTCTTTTTTCTGTTTATCTTTTAAATTGTGTAATATTGGTGAAATTTTCTCTTTCTTGACTAGTTTATTTTATACCTTTTATGTCTTGGATTTTCCTTCTTCACTAGTTTTCTGCTGCTCAGTGAATGGGGATGTGATGGCACTAAGCCCAGTAGGGAATATCGTTTGGAAGGTATGTTCTGCTGAATTCATTCTGATGTTAACATAACTAATTTTAATAACCTTAACGTTCACTCAATGACATTTTAACCTTGGAAAAATGTAAAAAAGTCTATAACTATGCTCTGGCTGTGTTTTAGCATAAGAACATAGATTTTTTCATAGCATTTTCTTTGTGGAGTTTTGTGCATTGAAACTCACGGAATGCTAACTTTTTGTTTTGATATTATATCCCCTTCAATCTCTTACAAAATTTATATTATGTATAATTGTATTAAATTGGTTCTATGAATTTGAGTGGTAGTGTGTATCAAGATCCGACCCGGGACTTGAAATTAACCAAAATTGGGATGTACGGTTAAACAATGAAAATTATTTTTCTGCTATTTTATTTCTAACATTAATAGTTTAATAATAAAAAAATCATGAAAGAACCACTGAAGAAAGTAATTTAATTAATAAGTAGAAATTTGTACCTTTCCGATTACTCTTCTCGTCTCATATACACAATTGATCATTTTTTGTCCATCTTGCTAAAAAAACTTAAAATCTAAAAAGATATTAAAATAATATATTGAGTTTTTTAAAGATAACCTATAAATAATCACACTTTTAAACTACAGTAACCTCAAGGGAAAGAAATCAATATGCATGATGGCCTTTCATATCTCTAAGAGAAATCTTAATCTATGCCGGTTTTTCATATTTTTATAAGAAATCTTATATATGCTAATGCATGTATCAATGATCTTTTCTAATTGAAAATACTCAAATCTTCTATAGGCATTTACTTTTACTTTTCTCTTATGCTTTTTACATGCACATCTGCCTCTTTGCGGAACACCGTCAAAACAGCGTAACACCTTGTTGGCATTATCCTGCCGACACATCTATTATCAATTTAAACAACACAATTGTTTGCAGTGGAAAGACTCTTATCTGCCTCTAACAGATATTATCCCATCGGTACAACAATTATCGATGTAAACATCACAATTGTTTTTGGTGGTAAGCTTTATCTACCCACTCTCGACCAATATTATCTAGTCGACACAACTGTTTGTGATCTAATAATCACAAATATCTAGGGTGGAAGAAAAACTGTGCGCGTGTACACTGACATCACCTTTCTGAACTCCTCGGAACATGCACATACAAGCATTTATATATAAGCTATTTCATTCTTCATGATATATATTTTTTTGATACATCTTCACGTGTCTACTAATATGCTTATTTTGTGTAAATAATCATCATATTTATCATGTGTGTCTCTTATCTCATACATATCTCTTATCTCATACTTATCTCTTATATCATACATATATTTTATTGCATTTGTATCTCTTATTTGATACATATTCTTTATAGCATACATATATTTCATATCATGCACATCCTTTCTTATCACGCTTATCTTTAATATCTAACAAATATGAATGATTTTACTAAACTAGAACATACATGGAGTTAAACATACATTTTAAATGAAAGAAGATTACTGAACGTTGAACATTTAATTACTTACCAAAGTTGCCACGTTAGATTATCAATGTTCAATAACTGGTTGGGTGTCACGATAATCTTTACGTTGATATTAATAATCTATAGCATAAAAATCAAACTTATGATTCTGGTTTTCGATAATTATCTATTCTTCATTCTTCTTTAAAAAATATAGAATTAATTGAAAGTTGCTACATTAGATTATCAATCTTCAATAACTAGTTGGGCGTCACGATAATCTTTACGCCGATAATCTTTACACTAATATTAATAACCTATAGAATAAAAATCAAACTTTCCGTTAATTAAATTATTCTTCATTTTTCCTTAAATAACATAGAATTAATTTACTTAAATTTACAGAGCACTCCCACAACTAGCTTCCACACGGTCGCCTCGAACTCGCTGCTTTGGGTAAACAACTTGAAATTTGTAAATATCTTAGGATTTCATAATATCTTCTGCTTGAAATTTGTAAATATCTTAGGATTTCATAATATATTCTATCCTAAAGAAATTTAATCCAAAATATATTGAATTTGTCAAAACATATCTTAAATGGACGTCTCGGCACAACCCAACTTTCTTAGATCCTGCCAAAAAGTTCTTCCTTCATCAAATCTATGCTTGCTCCTCCCTTAACCTCACTAATTTTGTGCTAGAAGTCCTAATGGAAACCAACGAACCAACTTCTTCACCTCCGGCACGATCTCGTCTCTTATACGGCTGCCTGAAACAAAAAAAAAATGCTCATTTCGTGGCAACGTGGAAGTGTAAGAATGGAAATGAATATCTCAAAATATTATGAGGGAGGGCTTTGTACCATTAGATTTCTTCCCCAAAGCCTGAACAGCAAGTTGCGGCTCACGGAAGACCGGTCGTCTGTTGTAATTCGTCATCCTGCGGGTCGCGACTGTGCTGCGATCCTGCTTGTGCTACAGTGCCGCGGTCGCAGCTCCTCACTAGATCTAACATGGAGGGGTAGGAAGAAATGCAAAGTTTCTCAATGGAAGATCTCGCACTTTCGATAGATGTAAATATCGCGCGAGTAGGTTGGTATTGAACTGTGAAGTGATTAGGAAGAGATGATTAAGAGTTAGTTAAGTTTATTTAAACTTATATCTTTCAATTTTTATATCTTTCAACTATTTATAATTTATATATTGTGTTATATATCGAATTGATCAATTTAACGCGTAGAATTTTATAAAATATTTAACGCATAAAATTTTATAAAATTTCTTCGGTTATTATATGAGGTAGGTAAAATTTGGACACTTTTCTTCGGTTATTATATGAGGTAGGTAAAATTTGGGGTACTTACTTTGGACACTCTTATGCAAATCTCTTTGCTTTTGAGTTTATTTGAAATTAATCTCCAGTCGCCTAACCCTCTCCATTAACACTGATTAGTCTTTAATTCCAAGTGATTCAAGTGCATCTTTTTATGCTTGCCCCAGTAAAGAAGTATTTAAAAACTACACTTATAGTGATATAGGGAAGGTGAATTTAGGAGATAACAAGGTCTGTAGTGTAGTAGAAAAGGGTGATGTTGATATTAAGTTGTTGAATGGAGCAGTTTAGAAGCTTACTAAAGTCAGACATGTTCCCAGTTTGAAGAGAAATTATATTTCAGTGAGTCAGCTGACAAAATCTGGTACTTGAAAAAAAATTATTAGTGAGCTCGAGATAAAGGATTTAAGTTCAACTAGGAAGATCTTCAGGATGAGAATCAATAGGGATAGGAGAGCAGGAACACTGAAGTTGTCTGAGGCAGAGTACGTTGAGAAGATCCTATAGAAGTTCAACATGAGTGAGGTGAAACCAGTTAGCACTTCCTTAGGTAGTCACTTCAAACTATCTAAGAAACTTGCACCTAACTCTGAAACAGAGCAAACACAGATGGAGAGAACTTCAACTCTGAAACAGAGCAAGCACAGATGGAGAGAACTCTGTATGTTTTAGCAGTTAGAAGTTTAATGTATGTGATGATTTATACCTGGCCAGATATTGCATATGCAGTTAGAGTAATCAACAATTACATGAGCAATCCAAGCATGCATCATTGGGAGGCAGTAGAGTTAATTCTCAAGTTTTTGAAAGGAACAGTCAACAAAGTATTTTGCTATGAAATTTCTTTGATTTGTCTAAATGAATTTGTAGATTCAGAGCTGATAGGAGATGTGAATAGTAGAAGTGTAATGGGTATATCCTTACATTGGGAATATAACAGTGAGTTGGATTTCCAGGTTGCAGAAGATTGTTGGACTTTCAACTATGGAGGCCAAATTTATTGTTATCACTGAGGCTAACAAGGAGATGATTTGACTACAGAACTTTATGATAGAATTGGGCAAGAGGCAGGGGATTGAAAAGTTCTACAACGATGATATGGGTGTTATTCATCTTGTTAAGAATGTTTCTTTTAATGCCAAAATTGAACACATCCTGCTCAAGTGGTGAATGTTGAGAAATTGAATCCATTTTTGTCTTTAACTGGGTTTTATGAAGGTTGAGACCGGCGGTGAGGCACACCACGATACGTGACCATAGTACGTGTTGATGAAGGCAATTCAGATGGAGATGTAAGTACAGAGGACTGGTGCTCAGTGCTTTGTCTCCAAGTGGGAGATTGTTATGGTACATGGAGCCAAAGCATTCCAAGTAGCATTTAAGACTAGCATTTAGGCGTCAGTCATGAGCGCTCAAGCGTCTCATAATGGCACGACTACAGTGAAGCCGACGCTTAAGTGTCGGCTTTGGGCGCATATGCGCCCGCTATAGGGTGTATGCTGCTCTTATTTCTGAGAGACTAGCACTTGGGCTCCTAAGCGCCCATTATGGGGAGTTGATACAGAGCGCTCAGCGCTTAGGTGCCAAGTTTGGGCTCTTAAGCATCCGGTGCAATTAATATATGAAAAACTGATTATTTAAGCCAATTTTGAGCACGTTTCTTTATACTTGTTATTTTTTTCTTATGAATTCTTCGATGAGCATCCCAGTGAAGGTGAGGAGTGTCAAAGAGGTGGATTTTGACGGTCCAACGTGATTTTTACATCGGTTATCGATCAAAACATCACAATTAATTGTGATAGAAAATCCCTTACCTGCCCTGACTGATATTATACCGTCAACACAGCGGGGATAGCAATGTAAACATCACAGTTGTCTCTAGTGGTAAGCTCTGTGTACTCACCCCTGGTTGTCACTATCTCGTCGACATAGCGGTTAGTGATCTAACAAACACAATTATCTGGGTGGTAGAAAAACTACGTCTGCGGGTACATTGACGCCCCCTGCCTATACCATTTAGAGGTGAACTCATCTGAATATGCACATACAAGTATTCATAACATATATTTTCCTAAGATATCTTCATGCATCTACTAATACGTATACTTACTTTGCTGTGCAACTAATAATCATACATATCATGTATATTTTTTATATCATTCATCTCTTTTCTCATGCATATTTCTTATGTCATGCATATCGTTCATATCATGCACATAGTTTTCTATCGTGTTTATCATACATATATTTTTTGTCTAAACATATTGTTCATATCATGCACATAGTGTTCTATCGTGTTTATCATACATATATTTTTCATAGTTTTCTATCGTGTTTATCATACATATATTTTCTGTCTAAACATATTGCTCATATCATGCACATAGTCTTCTATCGTGTTTATCATACATATATTTTTTGTTTAACAATATGAAAGGTCTAATTAAATTAGGGCATACAAAGTGTCAAACATACATTTTGAAATAAAGAAAATTGTTGATATTTACAAATATACGTCATCTCAGCTGTCATGTTGGATTTCCAATCTTCAGTAACTAGTTGGGCATCACAATAACCTTTACATTGTTATTAATAACCTATAAAACAAAAAATCAAACTTAAAATTTAAGTTTCCATTAATCAAATTATAATTCATTCTTTTTAAATTAGCATAGGATCAATTTACCTGGCTTGACGGAGCCGTCCTAAGACAAACTTCCACACAGTCGCCTCGAACTCACTGCATCTGGTAAACAACATGAAATTTGTAAAGATCTCAAAATTTCATATCTTGGCTCATTAAGAAAAATTAACCCTAAATAGAATGGATTTTCCAAAACGTACCTTAATAGGGCTTTTCAGCGTAACCCAATCTTCTTCGATCTTGTCAAATCTTTTTCCATTTTCTTCTTATATTTGCTTACTTCTCCCCTAACCTCGTTGATTTCGTGCTAGAACTCCTTAAGGAAATCAACAAGCCAACTTCTTCGCTTCCAACATGACCTCGTCTCCGCTATGGTGACCAAAAATGAAAATATTTATATTTTGTAGCAAACCTTAAAATGAAAGTATAAGGGAAGGAATAACTTAAAAATAACTTGAAAGAGGGTTTCATACAATTATATTTTCTCCTCGAAGCCTGAACAGAGAGGTGCAGCTCTTGGCGGGCCGCTTGCCTGCTGCAGATTGCGACCATAGACTGCGGCTATGCTACGATCGTGCTTTTGCTACAGTATCTCCATTGCAACTCCTCCCGAGAGCTTCTGCCAAGCTCGATCAAACAGTGAGGTAGGGGGAGGAAGAATGAGAAATTTTTGTATGTAGCATCTCACCCTTTCGATGCCATACAAATGTAAATATTGGTTGAGTAGATCAGTGATGAACAGTAAGGGATTAAAAAGGGATAATTAAAAGTTAATTAACTTTAATTAAACTTAACTTCTGGTTTATATCTAGTGTTGTATATTGATTTGATCGTTTTGACGCATAGAATGTTATAAAAGTATTTTGGTCGAAATATGAGGGATGTGAAATTTGGGTATATTTTAGTCGTAAAAAATTTTAAATTTTAGAAAACTCATTATTACTGTGAGAAATGCGTATGTTAGAGAGATGATGATTTAAGCATTTACAATATTAAACAAAATGTTTACCAATAAAACTGGTTGATATAAATTGTATACAAGGATTAAGAAGGTAAGTGCGGCCTATTTAATATTAAAGCAGAATATAGCTATAACTTTTGTAAAATTTCTTACATAAAAAAGAGTTGCTGCTTTTCACTACACTCAATAAGATTTAGAAAAGTAAGACTCAGAGAAATTAGAAAGACTATGTTAAGCTAATGTTATCAATGCACAGAAGAGTTTCTTCTTTGGACTAGTTCCATGTCAATATAATAATATTTTTCCATATAAATTGTATACAAGGATTAAGAAGGTAAGTGCGGTCTATTTAATATTAAAGCAGAATATAGCTATAACTTTTGTAAAATTGCTTACATAAAAAAGAGTTGCTGCTTTTCACTACACTCAATAAGATTTAGAAAAGTAAGACTCAGAGAAATTAGAAAGACTATGTTAAGCTAATGTTATCAATGCACAGAAGAGTTTCTTCTTTGGACTAGTTCCATGTCAATATAATAATATTTTTCCATTATGATTTCATTGGTTAATGAATTGGCTAGAACTCAACCCACTAAATTTATACGCATATTTGGACTATTTGCGAGGTGTCAGTTCTACCATATGAAATGTGCTTGTCTTTTGTAACTGTTAGTTTTGATTTATTAGGCGAATGTTGGTGGTCCAATCTTTGCTGGGGCTTGCTTGTCTTTCTCTCTACCTTCACAGGTACAATTATTATTTTAGATATTTGATTTTCTTATAAATTATTGTTAAAAGGCTGAATTACTGGCAACTCTACCACATTTATAGTAGTGTGTGGAGAGGTCTAGGTACAATTATTATTTTAGATATTTGATTTTCTTACAAATTATTGTTAAAAGGCTGAATTACTGGCAAGTCTACCACATTTATAGTAGTGTGTGGGGAGGTCAGGTCTTTGTTGGTTTAAAACTAACCATTTATGCTTTATTAAGCCTGAACACATCTTATGCGTGAAATTGTGCCAAAAACGTAACTGTATACTTGCAATTTTAGTATGGTGTCTCACTTGCCTATTTAATTATCTCTGTTATCTTATTATCAGGCCTGTCATATAGCTTTTGTTTTGCTTGTCACCCTGTTTGTCAGACTGGCTTTCTTCTAATTTTTATGTACTCCTGTATATAGTTTTTGTTTCGTTCAAAGAATATTTTTTTGCCTTCTGCAACTCCTCCACAATCAGGCCTCATTTAAATATGATCTACTTTTAAACTATTGAATTTTTTAGGGCATTAGATTAGTGCAATCAAATTTGATTTCGCTGTTATTTTTTATAATTTTGGAAGAGATTTTCTTTACGTGCATTGCAAATAAGTTGTGTGTTAAACTTCGCTGTTTATTCTTTGTAATTTTTGAAGATATTTTCTTTGCGTGCATTGCAAATAAGTTGAGTTTCAAACTTCAAACTTCTGTATTTTAACTTGTAAATTGCAATCATTACATTCATTAGTCGTGGGTTGTTTCTTCATTTCCTAACCTGAAAACCTATAATTTTATGTTTTCCATTTTTTTTTCCCTACTTGTAACCCTTCTCAACTGTAACCATTGATCAAATTTGCACATGTTGCCATCATCTGTACCAGTTTTTTCAAATCCAAACTGCATGTCATCGGCTGCATGAGTCGTTCTTACCATCTATTGAAGTCATGAAACTCCTGTTTGTTCCAAGGCAGCTATATTTCTTACCATTCATGCTTTAGTCCATTCCATTACCATCTCAATCTAGTTACCACTATCCTCAGTCTTGATTCCCTTTCTTAGATTCTCTACGTTGTTGCAGTGTACAATCAAACGAGCCTATGCCATTGTACCCACATTTTGAAAGTTCCTATTTCATTTTGTAGCTTTTTTGATATTAATGGGACATGGTGTGATGATAGTTATTCCAGAATACTAAATTTTCCTTTCTTTTTGTTAATAACCAGTATTATTAGGCCAGAAGTTAACGTTCATTATGAGAGATCAGGCCAATGAATTCTAACGTGATCGAAAATAAGTTTTGGAGCTGGCAATGGTTGCTGAATTTATTCTTGTGGCTCCATTTTTTATTGTGTAACCATTTTGGGAAAGGCTTATATGCTTGAATAAAGGTTCACTCATTACGAATCAGTAATCCTTTCTCAAGCCTGCAATGCATTCCACGATGGTAAGGATTTTTTGGTACCGGTTGGCTCTTTCTGCATAAACATGGATAAAATTGCTGGATTTATTGAAATTTGTGAGCATTATTATGTGGTTGAATTTCAACTTGATCTCATTTGAAATATAAAGTATTTATATTATTGTAGGAGCAATGCAAATAGCTGTCAAATGAGACAGTTATACGGTTCTATCAAAAATACTGATACATTCATTTCTTTCAATTCATTTGCAGCTGTTGATATGTTCTCGAAATGGTGGGCTTTACTCTGTTGACATGGTGAGTTTTTTATGAAAATCTTATGCAGCGAACATTTTAGTATGTTAACTATAAAATTATTGACAAATTCCTTTTTTGCTGAATCCTAAAATGCCTGGAAATTAGTTCGAAGTTGTGTAATTTAATGTTGTCAAAGTAGTGTAATTGAGTTGACTCTCTTTTCAGATGTGTGAGATATTAAGCTTTACGTTTGCTAAATGGCTTAAAATTTTGAGTAATTAACTTGGGGACATCTGGTTTATAGCATTATCAGGATATGCAAAAGGAACACAGGTTTTTAAACATTTGGTGTTTGGTTGGATGAAAATGAAATACTGTGTGAAGTTGTAATGTATTTCGAGTTCACTCTTCAGTTTAGTTTTGGTATATTCAGAACACAGTGCCCACTGCATGAGTTCTGTTGCCAATGCTATTGCCGGACACTTCCATTGGACCGCCACCTTGGTGGCTGTCTTCAACCGGTTAATGCTGCCGGGATTTACATTGAATTAATTTATTTTTATTTCATATTAAATACACAAAGTTTAATATCCTTCATTTATTTTAAATCTAACCAAATAACTCAAAGTATTTTACATACTTTATATTTTAATTACATTGTATTATTTTAATCTATATTATGTTTCAACAAACCAAAGAACACCTTGCTGAATTCCTATTGTTGAGAATTGTATATAGTTTAGGGTCCTTTTGTAAATAAGAAATATAGAAGAAGCATAGGAATTTATTTGTTAAGAAAATTGTAAGGCTCTATGTAAGTTCATACCTTTACTGAATATAAGTGATTTTTTAGAGCAATGATTTCAATTTGGTGTCAAAGCCTTAACGCTACCACCCATTACTCGATCCGGGAAATTCCCCACTCAGAAGCCGGGTGACCCTAATAGAATTGAAGAAACTTGCGGGAAGTAGAAGGATGAGAAAGATAACCCTCACCAACTTCACACAGCGACGAGATGAGTAACGATCCTGATTGGAGCCATGACGAGTTGGGTCGGGATTGGTGTCGTCTTGGCAAAGCAGTTGCGATTAGATCTAACAAAGGCTTTGGTTTGGAACAGGGAGGCTGGAGCAGCTTCACTGGTCTTCTTCTACAGCAATCCCGTCATTGCCTTCTCAACTTGCTTTAGCCACAAATATATCACGGGTGAGACAATGTGGAATCGCGGCACAAGGAGTTATACGCAAGAAATACATGGTAGTCCTCATAAAAATGCTGCCTCCCTGTTTTTGCACGCACACATGTACTCAAATAAACTGTTAACAGAATTTTCTACCAATTAAATCCCTAATTCCCATCTTTTCTCCCCCCTTAGCCGCATACATGATTTATATCATTTGTACTTTCTATCTTACATAATCTCCAAACTCTCTATATCTTCCCTCACACTTGTACATAAAGCCTCATTTGTTTATGCGGCTGATCGTTAAGAATATTATTCGTACAAATAGCTTTATCTTATTGTCTATTTTTCCAACTCCGAGGGCTGATTGGATTTGAGTATTGCAGCTCATATGAATAGGTAGATATTGCAAAGCTGCATGGGTGGAGATGTTTATTTTTTCTGAATAATTCTAAATAATTAAGCACTTTGATTTTTGTTTCTTTTTTGTTTATTGGAACTAAAAATATTTTTAATGAAGCCACTTGTCATTCATTGGACAATGCTTGGGTGGGTTTGAGTCCAAGATCTGATGGCTTAAGTAAAGAAGTGGAAGAATTCACTCATGTATTTGGCTTTCAGTCTGGCCGAATGAATACACTGGTTCAACAGAGCCAAACGAATGAGGCTTAACATGCTGGTTTTCTAACCTGTCCCACTAAGATCTAATACCAGTTCTTAGCCTAGCTGTATCAAATCCTTGAATCCAGTCAATTAGTGTGATGATTAACTGAAAAGGCAAGTATAAGATTGGTGCCTCCTCCCTTGTTGCAGGAAAACGGAACTTTACTATGGGAATATCAGACTGGTGATCCCATCACTGCCTCCGCTTATGTGGATGAGCTGTCCTGTGTGATATCCAAACCTTCACATCCATGCCACAGGCAATAAACTATATCACTCTCTTGTTTTTTTTTTTTTTTAATTCCTTCTCTTATTAATGAAAAATATTTTTAATGACTGCTTTTCAGGTTGGTTTGCATTTGCAGCAGCTCAGGAAGAATTCATGTGCTACGGGTCCATCCCAATGCCAAGCAAGAAAGTGCTGCTGGAGTTCCAGGAAACCAATTGGTGGAGGAATTTGCAGCCATGAATCTCCCAGGTGACACATTCTCTTCACCTGTCATGATAGCTGGTCGCATCTTCGTTGGCTGTAGGGATGATTATTTACATTGTGTTGCTCTTAGGATTTGATTACTATTCTGGAGAAACGCATAAACAAAAGCTGGTCTGCGCACCATTTTGTTTGTATTTTCATAAATGTTATGCAGTTTGTAATGACAAAAGTATTAAAATGATCTCTACTCTTTATAAGGAGCTATTAAACGCAGATTTTTTCTACAAATATTTATCACGACCTAAATCTAAAAACCTTCGTATGCTTTAACTATTATATATATCGAATATTTAATCATCATAGTCATAGTTTTACTGTTGGTCTATAATTTATCCCATTTTTTTTCGGCTGATAATATTTATTTAATACAAAATATGTTTTTTTTTTTTTGTTACTTTCCTATTTTAGATAAGATTATTAAAATATTTTTTTGCTACATTTTTTTGCTAAAATTATTCTGTATGCAATTATTAAAAAATAAATTTATTCAAAGTTTCAATGATGTTGTCAATCCAACTGTTAAAATATAAATTTATAGCGATCTCTCCAAATGGATGTTGTTGGAGTAGAACTTTCAACACTCCCCATCTCACCTGTTTTAGAGAAGATATCAGAAATTTAGGAAGAAATAGGAAAAAATATTACATCGGTATTACGCACGTAAAGTAACGTGTGTAGTCAATGAAATCACGCCACGACATCCCACACAACAGAAAAAAACGGCGCAGTAACACGAGAAATATTCCCTCCCGTCTTATTCATGTGTTATTGTGTGTTATTCATGTGTTATTGATGTGTTATTGTGTTATTATAATACCAAGAATATTTTCAGGACACAATAACACAATAAAACTACATAATAACACGGGGGGAATGTTCCCCGGTGTTATTGTGTTTTGTGTTTCCCCCCGCCCCCCCCCCCCACCGCGTTATTGTGTTATTATAACACCAGAAATATTCTCATGACACAATAACACTAGAATAACACGGGGAATATTCTTCGTGTTACTGCGCCGTTTTTTTTTTCTGTCGCGTGGGGTGTCGTGACATGATTTCATTGGCTACGTACGTTATCCTACGTGCATAGGACTGATGTAATATTTTTTCAAGTAATAGACCTTGAAGCTGAGTCAGTCTTAAGGAATATGGAGATTGAAGGAAACATTAACGAAGTCAATACTCTGTGGGATCAAAGCTATGTTAAGAAGGAAAATCGTGGAACCAATAAAGTTTGTACTAATCAAGAGTCTTTATGTCCCAATTGATCCAAAACATGTCAGAGGCCTCAAATACAACGAGATGGAGGGAGAGGATAGTGACGAGCTGAGGCACAGTGGATGCTTTTTCTTTTATGGCATATTTGTGTTTATATTGATGTATTGAGCTATGCTTGTACTTTATTATTTATGGATTTTCTTTTGTGTGATGATTCACTTCATGTTATTTTCTTCACTTGAACTATGTTGAGATCTTGTGTTGACTTTATGATATTATTCTCCATGCGACATGTTTCCAAAATTGTATGCTATGCTTGGGGAATGAAATTTTGCTAATTTACTCACTTTAACTCAGTTCATATGACCGTGTTATGTACCATATTCTGCGACTCATAAGGGGAATCAGTCAATCTAATTTAATGTAAGTGCTCATTTAAAGAAAATTTTTCGTTAATATTTAAAAAATAATAAGTTCCTCATTTCAATAACTCTCATTTGAACCTAATAACCTCTCAAAATTATTAAATGAGTATGATTAATTTTAAAAACTAATCAAGGATATTTTAAAATTCTTTAAGAAATAACTGAGCCAAGTCAGCATAATCATAATTTTCAAATGAACTATATGTTGGGAAATCATGTTAAGAAATTTTGAGTTTATCAATTAAGATAAATTAGATATCAAAATCTTTATAAGAAACATGCTCAATCAATTATAGTAATTTTTATATGAGTGTGACTAAGAGGAAAACGGAGGGGAAGGTCTACGAAACTTGATTCTCAATGTAAATGGCTCACCTCATTGAGAAAAAGCTTGAAGTAAACATAACTAAAAAATTGATAGACTAATGTATCTCATAATTAATAAAACATAAAATTTATTGAGAAATTACTTATAATAATTATGCCAAGTAAAGTTGAATTGACCATCTAAATCCTAATCAATTTAAGATATCCTTGGAAAGTGAAAATATTTTAAATATATAAAATTATGAATTTTGTAATTTGCTTGGAATTAGTAACATGAAACAAATTATTTGACATTACTAAAAAATTATCCTAAAATGAAATTTACGTACTCATAAATCAAGAAGTAACACGTGAGAATTGTACACAAATATTGAGTTTTAGATTGAAATGTGAATTTAATTAGATGAGTAATCAAACAGTTTGGGGGAACACTGTGATATGAATGTGTGATTGCATTTTATTTTGAGCCTCATTTTGAGTATGAACATTATGCCTCATTTTATCCATCACCCTTCTTCATTTGTGATAAAAAAAGTATATTCAATGTCTTTGATCAAATGTTGTTGCCTAAAGAGATTTATATCCAAGGAAAACATGTATAGAACTCTATGGGAGTCAAGTTCCTGTAGATTCTTTGAAACCTTAAATGAAAATTCAATTTGTTAATTTGAGACCTAATTTGTGCTTAATCTATTCCAATCAAAGTCTAGTGTGACCTTAATCCTGTCATCATTTTTAAATTTACAAACCTAAAAAAAAAATTATAACATCACACTCAATAAAATTCACTTCAAGCATTCTAATCAGAGTCTAAAAATCACTAAATCTTCAAATCTTTAAAAAATTTAAGTCATTAAAAAGCAAATTTAAATATAATTGAACTCAATTAAACTTTAAAATGTCAAACATTAAATTTCTTACAATCTAATCAAAACCTAAATTCTTGAAATGAAGATTAGCTCCAAAACTTGAAATAAAAACATAACATCAAAAATTTCAAACTTTTCAGTATTTAGGACTAAATTTTGACTATTTTGGTTGTTATTTGATAATAATCTAATTTTCTCGGGGTGTCCTATACCTAACACAACTAGAACTCACTGAATAAAATAACAAATAATTTCAAATATAAAAAAACTAAAAAAACTTTATCTTTAAACTATTTTGTTATTATTAGGCATGGTTCCCTGAGGTGTCCTATACTCAATACTATTAGAAAAACTTACAAACTCATTAATAAAATAATTAATTTTCAAACAAAACAATAAAACTTCCAAAAGAAAAATAATTAAATTTCAAACAAAAGCAATCACATTCTCATCTTTAAGCCAAGAAATTCCAAACCAAACATCAATCAAATCAATCTTCTTTCAGTGTGACATAATGTCTCATTGGGGTTACATTTCCCTTTGATTAGCTCTCAAGTTAGATGTGAGTTGTACTTTTTAACTTGATCTAGTCACCCTGTTCACCTCTTGGGTTGGACTTAATTCCATGTGCTTTCTAGCCTAATGTGTTCAGTTTAATCAAATCAAATATTTATTTGATTAACTTTGAAGTTAGATCTGAGTTCCCTTGCTTTCTAACTTGATTTAATCATTTTGTTTACCCCTTAAGTTGGATGTGAGTCTCAGGCTTTCCATTTTAACGTGTTCTAGCTAAATAAAATCAACCAAACAAAAATCAATAAAACTAATAAGACAACACAATGAATCAAACATCAATCAATAAAAACAACAAATCAAAACTCTAAAAACAAAACTAAATATTATCCTTAGACAATCTCAGTTAAAATTTGGAGTTGTGATGTTCTATATTCAAATACAACTGAGTTCACAACTGCCAAAGAATTGGAAAACTCTTCCAACAAAACACAAAAAAATGAAATTAACAAACCTAAAGCCTTCATAACATAAACACAATGCACACAACGAAATCACTTCACACTTCTTCAGGTTTGTTGGAAGTTGAAGCACACTCCATGTAGCATCATTATGATGGGACCAGGTTGATTGATTTAGGCCAATCGAGATTGATTTTGGAAATCAATTCTTTAGGCTAATTTTCCTGAGTAGAGATGTATCATAAGTCTCTTCATAATTTAGCTTATTGCACACCAAATGTACTTTGTTTTTGAAACATTGGAATTTGGAGCATGCCCACATAGCACCATCATGATGTAAAATGTTTGGTTGACTTCAAATCAGTTAGGGCTGATTTTGGTTGTCAATCCTTTGGATTAGTCAACCTGAAATGAAATGAATCTAACACCTGTCCCTTTTAGTTTAAGCCCATTGTAACCTTTGTTTGAACTTTCTTCAAGTCCATTGAATGTTGGAGCACGTCCAACATGGCACCATCACAATGTGATTAGGTTGATTGACCTCCCTACGCCCGTCAATCCTTTGAGTCAGTAAATTTGAGTTGAAGTATGTCTTACTCTCATTCAGTATACTCATCGCATACCAGAAAGGATTCATCGAATATAGTTTGATCCTATTCAAATTATCCACAATTTTAGCTTTGGTTTATTGAATGTTGGAGCACACCCTACGTGACACCATCACGATGTGATCAGGTTGATTAATCCTAAGCTAGTCAAGGTTAGTTTTGCAGATTAGCCCTTTAACCTGGTAATTCTAAGTTAACTTATGTTTCTTGACAAACTTTCTCTCAATACATCTTATTACACATCAACGAGATATTTTGTTCCTTTAAAGCCCGTCATTTTTTGTTGGTCTGTATCTGGCCCCAACGAAACAGATAGCTTGGTTAAGAAAAACTAGGACAGTGTTATGTTTAAGTAATAACTCCTTAGAGTCAGTCATTGCTAGATCTTGTGTCAAAATGTCATATTTAAATTTAGAGTGGACTAACTGATAAAGTCGACATAGCTAAATGATGTTGATGAATGTTAGGGTTCGATCAATTCAGCGCTTTATACTTGTAAATCTAGGATTGGTGAATGAACACATTTTCAATTGTATAGTCTATTGAACATGTAAAAGAATATTTCCTTTCCCTTGTTAATGGACTGTTAAATATTAATAATGATCATGTGAGTCCATGATTTGGCTGAGTAAATATAGACTGTATTTATTATCTTCTAGTACAATCATTGAATACCTTGGGGTAAGGCACTTAGATCTGGTTTGGCCTTGATCATTCCCTTCCATAGATCTAGCTGAAGGTCCATTAGAAGTTAGAGCACGTCCCACGTGGCACTCTAATGATGAGATCAAGTTCATAATCTAATGACAGTCACGAC